TTCACACTTACTGAATTGATCTTCATTAGGGAAAGAGGAATGTCAAATTTTTGGCTATTAATGAACTTCGACCTATGAGTTATATACAATTCTATTCTTGGAAATAATGTCATTAAAAATTAGCAAAATTTACCTTTTTAGCCTACTTCTCTCCCCTCCCCCTTCGTAACAACCCCCCCCCGCGTCACTATGTTTTCAATATAATACCATTTCATTATGTACGGACATTGTGAAAGCCATGACAATCATATTGTCTTTTACTTATTTCCAGTTTGCGAAGGATCTTTTCTATTATTGTCATCATTAAATTTCAAATGTAAACAAAGCGTCGCTGTGTATTATCATACATAAAACGACTTCTAGGAACTAAATGACTATATCTTAGTTTCAATACTTCTTTGTATTCAAAAAGTCCACATTTTCGTGTCCTCGAGTTCGGTTGTACTCACCTCAACGAGCGCGGAATCCTGACCTTTTCGGAGGGTGTGATAGGTACAAATACGTGCAAAGTACTACATCCGAGTGAATGGGTAAATCAATGCCCACAAAGACCAACGATTCACCTACGACCGGTTCGTAAAGCGGGCAAATGACATGTTGATACACGCGGTTAAAATATACTAAGCGTATACGTAAAATGTATATGTTACTGTTAATGTTTGAATGTATATACTGAACAATTATCCAGTTAATTTTGACATTGCCGAAAATCGATTGATAAAGTTCGATGTTGGAATTGCGTCGAAGCGTACTTCGCTCATTAAGGGGATAAAGTGCAGATTAGCCAACACGAAGTGGCTACTGCAAGTAAAGTACATTACTGGGACGAGTATCACTTAAGTGATAAACAGGGATCAGAATACAGGCTGATAGAAGTTTCTTTCTCTAGTGACAGACAAAGTTTGTATCTCTAGCTTCAACGATGTCAGTCCTAAATTTCTATTTACTACATGATACTTCGTAACCTAACTTAACTTTACTGTATATCAAATGACGCTTCGCTGGCCGTTTCCGAGTTGGGGAGACAAGGCTCCACACATTAACCTTGGCGGTTTACATAGTAAAACAACTTTGAATCTGTGAAAAGCATTATTTCCTACCAAAATATGCCAAAATGGTTCTTCTCGCGAGCACACAAGACTCCTCACACACAGACAATTATCTCACTTTGCCCAGCGACCTCTGACGAATGCGAACAATAACCGAATGATGACCGAAATGATATTTTAATCGTCATTCATATAGCATTATCCAAACCATCTTCCAAATGAGCGAATTATCCCGCTAATTGGATAATAAGCCATATTTCGCAACACACGAATATACACAAGTTTTCGGGCCTATCATCATTAAAGCTTAAATTACTCTAACGATTGAAAAATAAAAGGAAATTCAATTCAAATATTGTTTGTATTGTAATATTACTGTATATACCTGCTACGTAATGCTTAAATTCTGTCATTCTTGATAGATTTATAAATTTTCACAAATTAATAATTATTTACGTAACTAATGGTACAAACATTATTCTTCGGTGTACGGATGAAATATTGACGGCCGAGACGACGGGAGGAGCCGATTCTGCCATTTTGAATTGATTATGCCAAAGACATTTTCGTACAAGTACATTATTATTCAGTACAACGTCGAAACTTACAAATATACACTCTTGGTACTACTATGATGTACTAGAAATATCACTTTTGAATGTTTTTAAGTTGCATTAACCGAATTGCTCAAGTATACTCCGTGAAGACACGGAAGTTCAGCAAATAAAGACTTCGCGCGTTCCTAAGTGAAAGACCTTCTGGGAATCCCAGTTACTAAAGCTCCTGGCCAAAACCGCTGGTCCAAGGGATTGACTGTGACAAGTAGATCGTTGTAATCGATTCTGTGATAGGTTTGAACCGGCGTACGTAGGTATAACAGTCCTATGCGCTAACCGCTACGCTACGGAAGCCATCACCGAAAGCCCGTCTCAACATCTCGAATGTTTTTGATGCGATTTTCGCGCATACTTTCTCGCACCGCACGTCGTTCTGTTCGCACGGTGACTGACTCGAAGCGCGAAAAGCATCGGTTCCTTTCCTCGCCTCGGAATTGAAGAACCAATTTACGGTCACTTCCAAAGACCGTCAGTACTTAGTTCATATCGTAGCTAACATTGTTAGTATGTCAAACAATATGATTCCAAGAACTTTTCGGACATACTGTCGACGTATTTTATGGCTGTCCATCCTTATTCTCATGTTTGTATATACATACTTTCCCAATGATAAAACCGCATGTACAAGTACAGCTAAACATTTTAACGAAGGCCATTTTCGATATCAACATTCAAATAATCAATACTGAAACACGCGCCCTCTGAACTTCACATTCAAAACCTGCCAGTTTTAAACAATTTAATATATATATATATATATATATATATATATATATATATATATATTAATCTGTTTGTGCAGATTTGGTCATTTTTTTCTGTTGGTGCATATTCATGTAATTATAGACCCATATTTTGTTAAAATAGACACTTATCTCTAAAATGTTTCGTCTTTTCATAGAAACTATTTGAGAGCGTCCATTGTTTTGAAAGAGCTTGTCACAGTCAGAGTATTTGTTTTCTATTTATGATAAAACACTTATGGAAATGCAGGGTATTTGTTGATAACATATTTTTTAACCAGACAGAATAAATACAAGACATACAATGTACTTCAGAAAGGTGAATATTTACTTTAACTAATTCTCTCCCAAAATAGGGTAGGATATGTTATGTTTGCACAAAAATATATCTTTTCATTCCAATCATATATCTCCTGAATTTTATTTAGAAAGATTTATAGAGGAAATGAAATATAGTTTATTTTATTTGCAAGTGCATATGTCAGAAATTTTAGGTCAAATGCAGATTTTTAAAAGCATAATTTAAGTTTTTCAAGGTTTAAAAATCCTCCCCCTAATCATTACAATATAAAGGAGATTCTTTCTTGAAATCCATTTTTTATATTTTTATACAAACTATTTAACTTTATATTTTTATAAAACTTTCACATTTTACCTGCAACGATCTCTTCACTCTCTGAACCGCCGCAAAGAAAATAATGTGAGGTGGTGTCGGCGTTTAGAGACTTTGCGCTAGTTGTTTGCCAAACATATGAAAACGAAATAAACAAATTGTTACAAAATATTTTACTATCTGATTTTATTAAGGTCAGAAAACCATCACAACGAAATACGAGTATATTGGTACGATTCACATGTGCAGTGTAATAGTACATAACAGTAACGTATTCTTGATAGTACGTTCAGATAATGTTTATTTGATTTATAGTGTCCTATATGTTTTTATGCATTATTTCTGTCAATTTCGCTTATAAAACATGAAACGGTTATCTATTATTTTTGTAGAAATCATTTTGAATGAGAGATTTCTTAGAAATGTGCTGTTAATGAGTTCAAGGTCAGTATGATAATCATTTCTTGTAAATAATATTTATCAACTTCACTCGCAAACAAAGAAACATGTTTTCGGTTAATGCATGTTTAACTCTTTTCAACAGTGACAAATTGAATAAAATATCGAAAATTCCTTTTTGATTTCGATTATTCTCATTTCAATTTTTGTATTATTAGTAATAAATGTCGTTAAAGATCTGCAAACATGGCTACTTCACTATCAAAGAGTAGTTAAGACTCATAAACGACAATACAATGTAAACGTAATTACGTGGTTCTCAAGTTCTTCAATGTAACCATTCACATCAATCAACAGGAACGTAAAGTAAGCCTTTACAAACATTATATGAAATCGTGAAGTTCGCGGTCTTTAAGCTTTCACGTTTACGTCATCATAGTTCGAGAACAACATACTCTCCCGAACCAGTAACTTAAACTAATGTGGCTACAGAATATCCCATACTTTCGCGTATTAGATTATCTCTTTGGCCTGCTATCTTTTTACTATGTTTCTCCCCCCATCCTCTTCTTACTTGCAATCTATTGGCGCCTAAAGGACATTTTTTCAAAGCTTACTAAGTCCTCACGTCTACTCTGGCCTTTTTCTACGATTTTCTGTCTTCGTCCAGTAATTGTAAGTCGTTGTATGTTATCACATGTTCCTGTTACGTCTAATCGCCGTTCGATTCGGCCAATTTCGGGATAACTAAAGACAGATGTCCTGGTACAGACCAGTCCAAACCAAATAGTATGTTATAGAGAATAGTAGGTTATAGAGCAATGTGTAAGTAATATATTGTGAAGTGCGGTGTCGTGCAGTGCAGAACAGAGAAATAATGTAGGAAGTGATTAAAGCGTCATATTGAAGTGAAGTGAAGTGCAGTTGAACAAATATTCAGTGCGGATATGGATTATAAATGTTTCTTTTTTAAGGTAATTTAAATGTTTTATGAATTAGACAGTTTTTATATCATTATTATGTTTATTATTAATGTTATTTTATTGTAATTATTATTATTATTTTATTAGATAATTTGTATGTTAGCTGTGTTATCTTATATTTGTAATTATCTGTCACCGGGTTATGCCCATTTGCAGTTCAAATAAATTTATTCTTTTATTATTATAAATGTTTGCAAGCTGAGTTCCCTCGAACGAAGGGAAGTTCATTTGAGTTGTTCATCTGAACAGGCTTTATAACACTTTTGTCACATTTCTTTGCTTTTTGCGACATCTTAACAAACATTTTAAGAGCACTTTATTGATCATTTTTGGTGATGTTTTACTTAATTAAATCAGCCCCGTAGTTACAATAAATGGTGCAATGTACTGAATGAATGAGCTCCAACCTCCCCTAATACCCCTTCTCAAGCGCTTATACTAGATCAAGGTGCCTATAACTGTTCATAAACCCTCTTAACTTATCATCATTTCTTTTCCATGAACTACTTTGCCACAGCGTTCTTGTATTCTCTCTTGCCATAGAAACATTACTCATTTTGTTGATCAAATATTGATAATTTTGGCGATGTTTCAAGTCATCGCCCCCGGCCCCTGCTTACGAACCTTCCATTGGCGCATGCGCAGTGGTGCTGATCGCGGGGCTGCTGGTGGCGCCGGGGGCGGCGGAGCCGAAGCGATGGGGCAGCGGCGGCGGCAGCCGGGGCGGCGGGCGCCGGGGCGGCAGCGGCGGAGGCGGCAGCACCAGCAGCGGCGGCGGTTGGTGGGGCAAGAGCAGCACCAGCACGGGAAGGTGCGTTGTGCTCACAGACGTTGAGCAGTCTGCCAGACTGTTGACATCACAAGCGTCAACATCGTTATTAGATTTTTTAAAATTCATATTCATTTATCACTCTGTCCGAGCTAAAAACCCTGTGAATTTAAAAAATAATATTTTGATTTTTGAGGGTCGTATGAATTATGCCAAAGAAATGCGAATAGGTTTTAATAAAAAAAACAAATCATTCTTTAAAAACTAGAAGATAACGATCTGAGCAAGTAGCCGAAATTGTGCCTGAGAAAATAGTCTATCTTTCAGTGTTATCGAAACGAAGTGTTACATTAGTTCTCAAGATTTGCTGAGACAAAGACACAAAAATCGTGAAAATAATTGTCTGTGTATTATGTAATGTCTTGAGTTTTATGTACTATAAATTATATAATCTTATAAAAAAGACAATTAATTTGAAATCATAGACACTGGCTTAAATGGGAAAGGCTGGTTTAAAGCAACAAAGCTGCCCCTGCAGCATCTCTCACCGGGAGGTCCTAAGGTTCGTGTTCTGACAATTTCGGAGTTTCGACACGGCCTGGTCGAATGCATGAGGAAATCTTAGCTTTCGGCTGCTCTAATCTGTACTTTTCTGAGGTTCTCCTGCCAATTAGGAGGCGAGTCCCGGCGTAACACCTTAACACACAGGCCCCGTGCCGCGCGTACAATCGGGCGCAATTAGGAACTTGCAGTGTGATTCACGCTAATTTCTCGGCAATCACTCTTACAGAAGACGTTACTGAGCATTTGTCGTAGCAAAACATTACACAGTCGCTCCGGCGGGGGTCCGTTTCTTCGACCTTGCAAAAGTCACAGGCTTATCGCTGCAGTGACCATTGCCAGGACCAGCGAACGGTAGTGCAGCCGGCAGCAAAAGAAAACATTTCTTCGCCGCGCAGGCGACAACAAAAATCTTCTAGTTTTCCAACTTGTATTCATGTACAGGAAAGTGGAATGGGGGTGGATGTCCACCTCTTCCGAAATGCACTCTTTCGAGTTGCAATCAATTGCAAAAATTGTGCAACTTTTTATCTAGTGAGTCTAATTTTAAAATATTAGTTTTCCAGACATTTCAACTTTTGGTTGGACTCAAGATGGTGAGTCATATATCCGGCGCAGGAAAGAAAACTAAACCCTTATGCTCATTGCAAAGTTTTATAAATATCATACTTTTCAACTATTTGTGTAAAAATAATAATTTTGAGAAAATTTGTAATGCAAGTTGGTGGATAAATTATTTTAATGTTAAAGAAACTCACAAACATCGTTGCTTTACCAACGCGTAATGTCAGATACAATGCAAATACGTGTATTTAGTGTTTCTTGGAACATTACTGATAATGAATGCAACAAATGTTTCATTTTATTGGTAAAGTTGACTTAAGAATGGATGACAAGAAGTTTTCAAGGTGCAGTGAAGAGAAATTTGCAAACGATATTTGAATAATATTGGAGCAACAAAATTTTTAATATATTCATTATAATTTTACATAACTACCTGATGTACATAGAACTTGAAGGTATGAGCACTTTTATAGTAGATACCATGATTTTGCATAAGCACATGTGCGTCATATGTCTTGTCGATTACGCAGACCATAAATATGATGAACTAATTATAGGTTGCAGAACCAAATACATATGCACAAATAAATTAAATGTCCTTCACGTAACTTATCTTTAAAATGTACATAATTGTACATGGGTGTCGACTTTCGAGCAGTTTTCTGAAGAGATGTTTAAAATATTAGTACTGTTTGGACTTCTGCAATGTATCAGAATAGGCTGCTAGCTTGTCCGGAGAGCTTGGCTGGTTGCCTTCCCTGCAGGCGTAAATTTGCGATGAAAACACTTTTCTTTTTTTTTACCTGAGTAGTTGGCATTCTTTGTTTCGTAACGAATTAAGGTGTACTGGGAACTCAATCGCCTCGCAGTAAAAACGCGCAAGAAATCTGTATTTTTTTCGTTCCTTTACTAAAAACCGTTAATTTTGAAGTTTGTGTGCAGGGTTGGGCATACAACTTGTAATTTACTAATTTCTGTGAATTTTAGTTTTCCAACAAACTTAACAAATGTAAATATTGTACAATGTAATATAAGTAGAAAATCATTATATAAATTTTTTAGTCGTCTTAAATATAGTTAATGTACATTTGACAGGGTTGTTTTATTTTACAGTAAAGAGAAAAACAGAAAATCTATATGCAAAAGAGGAAACTGAAATAAACGCGCAAGTTGCTATAAAATAAACATAGTACATTAAAAATTACCTAAATAACATTTGACGTTGTGAGTCATTGGAATTCATATCGCTTACGGTGAAAACTAAGTCGAGGAAGAAGTTGAAATAAAAGATGCCTAATTTTTTTTTTAATTTTTCATATACATGTTTCAATGACTAGTAAGAGAATGATAATTGTTTTGGCATATAACTACATTTAAAATTCCCGTTAATGTTGTGACGCAAACTGCTGGATGAAGCTCATTGGCTGAAGCCGGATAGGCTGTGCAGCGGTTCATCGATGTCATTGCATCATGGCTCAGATGCCCCTGATGCGCTGCACTTGTGCTCAACCTTATCGCGGGGGCACGTGCATGGCCAATGACGTCTGGATGGAGCACGAGACATAGCGTCGCGTGCAGATAACACAAGGAAAACGAGGGCCCTAAGGTGGAGTCCTGCTCGAGTCTATTTCGCTCGTGCGCCACGACAGTTAACTCAAAACCTAGAAGATTTTTACAAAATCCGGTCTGAATAGTACAACGGTGTTGCTTACCTCGTCTTCAAGATCTTAAATGTGAAAAAATCTCAAGTCTTGGTCTATAGTAATAAATTGGTTATGTGTAACTCAAAGAGTGATTAGCGAACATCTTTTTGAATAGATGCCTTGTTTTAGAATGGTAAATTTTTTATTTGTTGTATTTGGATTAACTTTCAAATACCTTTTTCATTCCGGTAGTGGACACATGAATATTGCAAAATGGTGTTAGTCGCCAGATTCTGAAATGGCCAATTAATATTCTGACCCATGAACGAGCTTGAGACCAAAATATCTGAAAAAAGTACTGCTACCGGTTCATGTTACATGATTGCAACAACAACAACAACAACAAATAATAATAATAATAATAATAATAATAATAATAATAATACTTTTATTCCTGAAATAAAAAAATAGAGGATAGAAAAATTATTGTCGATTTCTTCCTCACCACCGGAAGGCATCAGCTCCAAGTTTTGCAAATTTGAAGCAATTGAAAATATTACAATTTTTATTTTTCAAATGAGCTTGAAGTGTTAGTGTCGCATTAATGTCGCAGTGTATAATACTGGTGTTCTTATCCTATTGCCTGTTGTATTGTCTAAAATGATAGTTTTTACAAAGATTTCCATAATTTCTTTATTGCAGCCGAACCAGCAACACTGGTAGCAGCAGTAACAGTGACTTCCAAAGGTAATTTCTTTACGTAAAAACTGAAATATTCAAGGTACGAGAGGCGACAGGCCGTTGTATCTTAAGTGAGTTAAAGAGTAAAATAATCCTATTAGCAGAAATATTAATCATACAGTAATTTTGGAGAACTTACTCGTTTATCTAGACGCAGAAATATCGTTTAATAGTTTGTGGTACTAAACATTGTAATAAAGCTTGTGCAATGATGTAATGCTAGCAGCATTTTTTAATGTGAACATTGAATTAATTTTACTTATGACACCGTCCTAGGGTAGCTTTATTGTATTTCCATCAATTAGTACTCATTAGTCAAACTTAAAATTAAGACATTGGAGCTGAATAAAACAATGTGTCCTTTATTTTTAGGTGGAACACAGGAGACAGTTGGAGTTCTGGCAAAACCAACACTGGTGGGAAAGCGTAAGTCATTTTTAACCTCTTTCATTACTACGTACGTAGTAAATGGAAAGTAATGTAATGCTTCTCTAAAAGTCAACGATTATTCAACAGAAAAACTGTACAGGAGACCATCGGACTCTGGTATCGAAAACGTGGGAAAATCGTGCTCCTATATGTAGTACATTTCTTCACCTCTCACGTTGTGTAGTTGTAATTCATGTTTTGAGAATCCTTGATACTAAAAAATCGGTTGACTGCAAAATATCTCTGTCCATCCGTCTGTGGCCAATGCTGGCGACGTTCAGATCACGTCAGATCTGTCTGAATGAACTCGAGGCCCTTCGAGATCCATAGATCCAATAACTGCTATTCCTCTGTAGTTTGTTTCATTGTCTCTAGATCCTTTCTTATAGATCGGTGATACGTAAGACGTTCGCCACTCCTGAGAAGGATCCTCTCCATTAATGCATCTTGAAAATATGTGTTTGAGCATTTGGCGCAGTTTATAGGGTTCATATGTCAGTAAGTCTGCATGTATATCTCCCGGACCAGGTGACTTATTAGATTTCATGGACTTTTTCTGAATCAAGTACTTTTCTAAATCTTTAATTGTCAAATCTACCCTTTGCTCAAATTTCTCTTCTTTGTTTGACTGCAAGTTTCTGTTTTCTAGCAGCAGTCTTCCAAAATACTCTTTCTATTTATTGATTCTGATGTTGCGATAGGGCGACATTTTTTTCATTTAATTAATTGATTTCATTTCTTTTCAGGCTTCTAAGCTCTGTGCTCCACCTTTGAATTGTTCTATACAATTGCATTTATCCAGCCACAATTTATTCTTCCTTGATAACACTTCTTCTTTTACTTCACTGCTTATTGATCTGTACTGTAAATTAGTTTCAGTTTTCTTGCCATTAAGCCATTTTACATATAGCTCTCTTTTCCTCTTAATCTTTTCTTCTAGACTTGTGTCCCACATATACTGCTTCGGTTTTATTTTACAAGTACCCAAAACCTTCTCTGTGGCTTGGTGAATACATTCTTATATGTGTTCATATTATTTTTCTATTGGCCTGTGTTTAACCAATAGTTTCAAGTCTTTTTCTGTAAAGATATACTATCATCGAAGAGACTGCTTTATTTTTATTTGGTAGGTTTCATGACAAATCCATCTTTATCTTCTTTATCCGTGCCATTCGATGAAAATGGTATGAATGTTTTAGCAATTACGAAACAGTGATCGCTGCATTGGGCCCCCTGTTTCACTCTAACATCTTATATTTTGAGTCAAGTGTTTTGCTTGGTTACACAGAGGTCTATTATATATTTGAGTTTCTTTTTGTATGTTGGTACTACGTGTACTTATGAATATCTTTATGTTGTAAGAAAGTGTTATTAGTTTTAATTTCATACTCATAACAAATATTAACGAGTATTTTTTCCATTGGCATTGCGAGTTTCCTCAGCACATTGACCCACAATATTGTTGTTCTTATCTCTTCCAATTCTGCCGTTAAAATATCTTGCAAATATTATTTCCTTAGCCATTGAGACATCATCATTCAAATTATATATTTCTATGACATTTATGTAGTTTCCCCTGATTTTTAACACTACTTTAATAATACGTTCGTTTGTATACTCTCAACTTTTCATACATGTACCGAAACTTTCCCCAATAACAATAGAAATTCCGGCTTTGGCATTTTCATGTTTGTTTACGCCACTGTAAAAGTGCCCAAAGTTGTTCTGTATTTCGCTTTCCTTGCCTTTCTTTTTTGTTTCAGACCAGACGGCTGAATCTATGTCTCTTCTCATCATTTCCTGGATTACTTGTAGTTTGTTTGCTATGCTATGTACAATCCATATACCAATATTTAGAGTCCATTTTCTTTGCTGATGTCGATACCCTTTTGAAATAATGGAGGCATTCATATGACTGAGATTTTTAGCGGTGTGGTGGGTGCTGGCCTTCAGCACAACCCCCAAACCTGGAGGACCGGAGCTTTTACTTCAGGGGTTTCCATTCCTTAGGCTGATTGCTCCCACCGTAACTTAAGGGTTCCAGCCTACCCCTGATCCACTCTTTAGGAATCCCGTTGGATCATGCACCATTCATAATTGAATGCTTCTAGGATGCTTCCCGTGGATGTGGCGATTGGTTATTTCGACGACCGATCTGTTATATCAATTCTGAAGATTGATTTTATTTGGTCATTTCTGGTAATTAGATTTTGCCGACATCGCACGCCCCTAACATTTATTCTTAATTCAACTAATTTTCGTGTTGGGTAAAGAAAAAACGTGCGTGCATAATTCTATCAGCATGATCATTACATGAAAGAAATAATTTAAGAAACGACGCGAATGAAATTCTCACACAGAAAGAGCGTGTTTATTGTTTTATTTTGAGCTGATAACATGTGCTTCGCAATAACTGACCATTGAGTCTATCTGTCCAAGTGACCACGCGTTTTCCTCCGCAGCTCGTCTGGCTCCGCAGGCGCTCCCCCTCCCGTAGGATGGAACATCCCGCTGCCGAAGCCAGCACAAGGAAGGTACGTAAAGGGATCAACGACTCTGGTAGAGTGAAGTCGGATAGAGTGAGCCAAAGACACTCTCTAGATCCACATGCATTGCAAACTAGGGGCTTGCAGCAGCAAAACGCTTCTTGAAGAAACCGCTCAAAATTGTTTACCAAAAAGTAGCACGCACTTTGCTCAAGAACAATAAATGAGCTCAAAAGTTTCTATTAAACGTAGATTTAGATTTTGCCCAGAACGCTCGTTCCAAGAATTTATTCTTAAGTCAACTAATTTTAGTGAATAAATGTGAGTAGGCTCAAGAAAACGTGCGCGCATAATTCTCATTACATGAAATAAGTACTTTAAGAAGCGATTCGAATGAAGTTCTCCGAATAAAACAGCATGATTTTTACACCAGCATTTTAACAACCTTTTCAATTTCAATAAATCGTTCATCATCGGGTATTTTACAGCATTATAAGATTTTACTGCACGAAATACTGCGTCATGACACATTGAACCAATCCTAGTGAGAGATTCTTGGGAAGGTAAATGTAAACGGAGCAGTCAACCACCGTTTTCTTGCACAGATATCAAATAGCCAAGAAAGTTGTTTCGCAAAATTGTTTGATTCTCTTAAAATTTATATTCCTAATATACAAAAATAGCGTATGCAACTCGTTTATAAAGCTGCTTTATTGCATCCATACAAATTTGAAAAGTCGCTTCTTAAGTTGCTCGTTTTCAAAACATGCACTCAGGCCATAAAGCTTAACATTAGTACCTAATTGCATAAACTATTATTATTTTTTATGAGCTGATAACATGTGCTTCTTTATAACCCATCATGGAGTCTATCTGCTCAAGTGACTCTATCTGCGCAATTTCCAACGCAGCTCGTCTAGCTCCGTCGGCGCTCCCCCTCCCGCAGGATGGAACATCCCGCAGCCGAGGCCAGCACAAGGAAGGTACGAAAAAGGATCGAAGTGCCGTCGACTGGGTTGAGTGAGCCAGAGTCACTCTTTGGATCCACTTGCATTGTAAACTAGGGACTTGCAGCAGAAAAAACTCTGCTAAACAAAACCGCTCAAAATGGTTTTCCAATATTATTGAATCTGTTTGTTCGTATTTTACTCGCTGCCTTACCGTTTATTCGAGTGAAAACATTGCCAACTTATTGTTTGCACTTGATCAAAAAATATAACCAGAGTAAAATGGGAATGTGTAAATCCGTCACAATATACGTGTATCGATTTTAACTTTATACGTTTATCTGACTCAAACGCTCCTGAACAGAAGCTCTACGCAACTCGCCGCACTCTTGACAAGTAAGTTTGTCTTCGGTGCATATTCTACCCTTGCGATTGTGATATATCGTCCAGGAATGATATCTCAAACAAGTAAATCAAATTTCGCCAAGACAGTGTCATAGCAAATGCATGCTTTACTTGAACACGTTTTAACAATAAGATACTTGACAATCATGTCCAAACCAGTACGTAGAATAAACCACTGAAAGAGCGTGTTTATTATTTTATTTTGAGCTGATAACATGTGCTTCGTAATAACTGACAATGGAGTCTATCTGCCCAAGTGACCACGTGTTTTCCTCCGCAGCTCGTCTAGCTCCGTCGGCGCTCCCCCTCCCGCAGGATGGAACATTCCGCCGCCGAAGCCAGCACAAGGAAGGTACGTAAAGGGATCGAAGTGCCGTCAACTCTGAGTTGAGGGAGCCAAAGTCACTCTCTGGATCCACTTGCATTGCAAACTAGGGACTTGCAACAGAAAAAAACTCTGTTAAACAAAGCCGCACAAAATGGTTTTCCAAAAAGTTGCACGTACACTGCTCAAGAACGATAAATGAGCTCTCAATTATTCATTTTCAGAAATGTTCAAACGAAATTTTATCAAAAACAACTCTACATTTTCTAACAAACATCTCTATTACAAAAGAGATTTTTGCTCTTCTACGATATTATCAAAGTCTCATTTCAATTAAACTATTACAGGTCAAAAAGTTGAGAAATTTAACGTGTTTTATCAATCAAAATTCCCTGTTTTCTATTAAAGAAAAGATAACTACGCCATTATATAAGCTGAGATAATCTACAAATATTTTATTCTACAAGACAATCTTCGAAGTCATTTAGTGTTAAGAAATTTGTTCATTGCTGGGTGTTATGTTAATAGATTTCAAATCTAAAGAACCTTTGTTCACGTTGTTGCTATGGAAGCGAATAGTGACTAAAGAGATAACCTCAATGTTGTCAACAAGCACATTACAGGCCAGGAATTCATCAAAAGTACTAGTTTTAATTTTATAACATTTTGGTAAAATTATTATGTTACCGTCACCCGTTTACAAATAGTATGGTCAAGAGAGTCGGCCTCGTAGGACGGAGTCTTAAAGCGGGTGAGCCCAAGTACGTGGACACTAAGGCTGGTTCGCGGGTTCGAACCCCTTGAAAAGATTGAATATTTCCGTTGTGTTTACGGTGTGGGGGATACTCCTAGTCCCTCGTGTAGTATGATGTGACCTCTCTCTCTCAAATTTATGATGAGATAGCTTGCTCCCTACATCATAAGAAAGTACACTGACTAGCGTAGTATGTAGATCAATATCGACTATGTCGGGAGCAGTAGAAAGATCGATATATCGAAAGATACGGCGCGAAACGAAGGGCGACTGCCGAAAACAAGATTGACCTCATTATATTGATGTTTCTGTGGAGAAGAATGCATGTAAAAGGCTAGTGTATGAGCTGCACCGCCGTTATATTATACATTGCCAGTTAACAGCAATTGAATCCAACTACATATTGCGAAAATTCCATGTGAATTAGTTTCACCAAAATATATTCTACTTTATGTAAAGAGTAAATTAAATTTTGAAGAAAAACATATTTGGCGATTTTCTACGTACAAAATGTAGAACGTGTTGAATATCTATTCTAACGGTAGATTATCATGTTTACAGCATTTTTTAACTTCTTTGTAAAACTTATGGCTTTTTTATAACCATTTAGCTGGATTTAATCCCACGGGTATCCGAATTCTGTGGAATATTTCCATAATTTCATTAAAATAGGGGAAAAAACGCTTATGCCAGAACCTACATGAGAACGTATCCTTCACTGCATGCCCTTACTTCAAAGACTGCAAATTGTGTTTGGCATCCTGAAAATTTTCTACCGGGGAAGGGAAGAATTGGAAGTTGAAGACGCTGGCAAGAACAAAGCAAACGCAGAGGTTTGGTTGCAGTGGCATGTTGTATATCAAGAAGCAA